TCTCCAATTTTATTGCACTACGGTCTGAAAATATACAGGGGCTAACTTCAATTCTTTTACATTTACTTAGACATGTCCTATGAGCTATGTGGTCTATTTTGGGGAATTACCCATGTGCAGCCAAAAAGAATGAGCATTATGATTTTGTGGGGTGGAAGAATTTGTAAGCATCTATTAAATCCATTTGTTCAATAGCTTGGTTCAATTCTAGAATTTTGTTGTTAATTTTTTTGTCTAGATGATCTGTCTGTTTGTGATAGTGGGGTATTGAGATCCCCCACTACAACTGTATTGGAGCTTATTTGGTTTTTCATGTCCATTAATATTTGTTTTGTATAGTTGGGGGCATTCGTATTTGGTGCATATATATGTATGATTGTCATCTCTTCCTCTTGGACAGTTCCCTTCACAAGGATGTAGTGACCATCTTTGTCTCTCTTAATTAATTTTGGTTTGAAATCTAGTTTGTCTGCAAATAGAATTGCTACCCCTGCTTTTTTCTGGGTTCCTGTGGCATGGAGAACTCTTTTCCATCCTTTTGCTTTCAATCTATATATTTCTTTTTGAGTTAGGTGTGTTTCTTGTATACAGCATATTGTTGGATTTTGCTTCTTAATCCATTCTGTCAGTCTCTTTCTTTTGATTGGTGAATTAAGACCATTAACATTGATAGTTATGGGCCGGGGATTTAGCTCAGTGGTCTCGCTGCCTGCTGTGCAAGCACAAGGACCCGAGTTCGATCCCCGGTACCAAAAAAAAAAATTGATAGTTATAATTGATGGATATTGACTCATCCCTGTCATGATGTTTTACTAATGGTGGTTCTTTTACTTCTTGTTTTTTTTTTTTTTCCCTTTCGCTTTAGTTTCTTACCTTGCCTGGTGGCTTCCCTCTGTTGGACCTCATGGAGTTGTGATCTTCATTGTCTTTTTCTAGGATATTGCTTAGGATTGTTTGGAGTGCTGGCTTGGTATTCATGAAATTTCTCAGGTATTCATTGTCATGAAAATATCTAATTTCCCCATCGATTTTGAAAGCTAATTTTGCAGGATACAACAGTCTAGGTTGGAAGTTACTTTCTTTTAGGGCTTGAAATACTTCATTCCAGACTCTCCTTGACTTGAGGATTTGTGTTGGAAAATCTGCTGTGATTCTGATGGGCTTTCCTGTATAGGTGATTTGTTTCTTTTCTGTAACTGCCTGTAGGATTTTTGTTCTTTTGTTGGATTTCTGGGACCTTAATTATTATGTCTATGTGTAGGTTTTTTTATCATGGCTAATTGGAGTTCTATATGCCTCACTTGTCTGAATCTCCAATTCTCCACCTCTGTCTGGGAAGTTTTCTACTATTACTTCTGTGAACAGTTTTTTTAATGTCAATTGTATTTTATCCTGTTTTTTCGTGGGCTCCTATCAGTCTTATGTTATTCTTCCTTGCTTCATCTAGCAGCTGCTGGATTGATTTCTTGTGGTCCCTTACTATTTTTAAGAAATCTCTGTTTTCATGGTCCTTAATCACAATCCTGACTTCTATATCTGATATTCTATCTTCAGAGTCCCTCAATATGCTATGCATGCTTTCAATGGAATTTTTAATCTCCTGAATATCTCTTTGAATCTGCTTCATGGATTCCATTTCTTTCTTATGCTGAGCATTCATGGCTTCCAGCATATTTCTGAGCTCATCTATTTTTTTATCTGTTTCTGTTCTAGAGCCTCTAATTATGTCTTTCACTCTGCTCACCATCTCTGTAGTTATCTTGGAGATTATTTGTGCTTTGAAATTTTCTACGGCCTCATTCATCTGTTTTGTCACTTCCTGTGCTATCAGTTCAGGGTGTCCAGGTGGTTGACTGTGAAACTTTTCCACCTCGTTTTCCCCAGAAACTGCCTTTTGTGTGGTGGAAGCCTGGGTTTGTGACTTGCTTAAATGTCTTTTCATTTTCGTTTTTGGTAATGACAGTTATAAATCAATGAGTCCCAGTAAGCCAGTCACAGACCTGTGAGATTCAGACAGACTTCTGGCTGCAGTTTCCAAATTGAGCTCCCCGCCCTTCTGCAGAGCTGAACTCTGCAAGGCTCTACTACAGGTTCCAGCTGTCTTTCCCCTGAAAATAGTCCAGGATCAAATGGGAGGTGATGATCCCTTCAACTTACCAAGTACGGCGGTGTGGTGTGCCTTTACTGCAGAGATTATCTTCTCTTTTCCAGTGGGCTTCAGTCTTCATCAGGAAGCCTGAAAGAGGCCCTTTCTCTGCTCTTCACCTCTGCAACTCAGGACAATGGCCTTTATGTCCCCCTGTGCCTCTGTAGTGTGGAACCAGGTAGCTGCATGGCCAAGAGGCTAGAGGCAGGGGCTGTTGTTACAGGTGCCCGAATGGCCAAGCCGGCAGCCTGTGGGCCTCTGGGGTGGAAGGGGGGTGTCCTCATGGTCTCCTGGATGCAAGCGGGCAGGGCAAGCCAGACGGAGCAGGGCGCAGCTACCCACATCTGACCACAAGGCCAAACTCCTAGTCTTTTTTGGTTATGGCACATATGCCACTGTGTATAGCATGAATTGAATAAACACTGAGCATTTTCCAAATTCTATATGTCATATGGGAAGGACAAATCATGAGATAATGTCTGACGATAATGTGCCAGAAGAACAGTGGAGCTTATTCCTCTTCCATATACGAATCAAGGTGTACAGTTCAGGTGAGGGGGACAGCTTTGATCTGGGCACTTACAAAGTGACCAAGGACCCTTCCAGTTTGTGGCTGGGCCGTCCCTATAATCTTGCTGCTGTCTGCATGACAGATTCGGTCACAGCTCTGTCTGGGTTCCTGTCCATAGGAAAACAGAAAAGGAAAGCAGAAAATACAACTACTTCTAAGCCAGAAACTCAGAAGCAGTAGCCATTATTCATGTTCACATTCCACTGCTGAGAACCAAGTCACCAGCAAGCGAGTTGTCTAACAGGAAGTGAGGCTTGGAAACGAAGCCTAAAGCTCGCACCTGGCAAGTAGGAGGATGAATGTCAGTGACACACGACCTGTTGCCACCTTTCCCTGCCCTCTCCATCAATCCAGGACACCCGTGTGCTCCAAACTCATCTTAAACTTCATTTCTTCCAGAAAACATTTTATAACTTTGGAAGACAACCCTGCTTTGCAAATCTGTACTAACAAAAATTTAAGAAGAGAAACAGGCATTTACAGTTCTAAATCACTAGAAAGTACTATAAAATTACATTACTATTTATTTCATTTTACCACTTTTTTTTTTTTTTGTGGTGCTGGGGATCGAACTCGGGTCCTTGTACTTGCACAGCAAGCGGCGAAACCACCGAGCTAAATCCCCAGCCCTTTATTCTACCACTTTAAACCAATAAATATTTTTAACACTTACTATGCTAGGCACTGTGTCAACAGCAAGAAATAGGTGGTAGGAATAGAGATACAGTTCCTACCCTCATAGAATTTACAGACCAGTGGAGCAGACACATATGTAAGATTAAGTTATTAAATTCACATTCAGTAACTTTAAATGTAAATTAATCATAAGTGTAAACTAATTAAAAGTAGAAGTATGCATTATGACAATTTCTATGAAGGCGTACAACAAGGTACCTCAAGAAAACATAAGGAAGTTTCCATTTTACACTGGGTATTTGAACAAGGCATGGGGAATAAGAATTAACTTATTATTTAAAATCTATAATTAAATCTCTCTTGAATCTCATTTTCTCAACTAAATCCAAAAAGTGTAAGAAGGATGAGAATAGTTCTAGAAGGATGACATAGGAAGGCTTCTCAAGAGCCCTTGTCTTTGGAAGGGACCGAAGGCTGGTGGAGTAAGAGGAGGTGAAGGACCAGGAAGGGAGGGTAGCACACACTCCAGCTGTACGGAAAGGCCAGTGGCCATCACACAAAAGATAAGTCTGTTCGCTTAACTCCAAGGATGAGACTAGGAACAATTAAAGGGTACCAAGGACAAAAAGATTTTCTATCAATTAAAAACAATAGACCATAATATTCCATCAGACAGAGCTTCCAAAAGAAGACCTTCTTAGCTGGTTAGTTTTTGTCACCAGAACCATTTAACCAGGGTGGGGAGGTCAGGTACCTGGGGAAGAAATTCCTGAACAAGGTTATAAGTTTAGTAGCATAATTGCTTAAATCTTTCCTGAGACTTTTATGGTTTTTATTCATTCATCAATTTGTAGAGCAAAAACATTATAACTTTAGGTGTGCAGTAAACATTGAATATAAAAATCTTGAAAAGTTATCACTACTATGGTTTTAAAATTGGTCTCTTGTGCTGATGATTTAGAAAGGATTACTCAGCAGTGTTGAATGACTGATAATTTGCTATGGAATGATCAGTATTATCTTCTACTGCTTCTGAACTCCCAGGTCATGACCCATTCCTCACGGTTTGGACAGAAGTGTAAAAGACAGAATGCTAAGGTACCTGTGCTACGCCTCTGTTAATAGTGTTTATCTAAAAGATTCCTTTTGGAGGTATAATAGATAATGTGAAATAGGAAGAAAAGGGGCAAAGGGGAAGGGGAAGTGGGAGGGGTAGGGGAAAGGAAAGAGGGGAATGGGATTAATATGAGAAAAGGAAAAAATGGAAACAAGGTCTTTGTAAATAGGGAGGGGTGGAGGGGTTGAGGGAGGGCAGGGGAAGGGGGAAAAATAAGAACCAAGAGAGACTATATAAAGGTGCAAATTTCCAATCATGAATGTCATTATATTATATACCTAAAATGTACCAATAAAATAAAATTTTAAAAAAAGATTCCTTTTGGTAATGAAAATGATAAATGTGATTGGCAGAGAATTATAATCATTGGAGGATTTATTAAGTAAGAAAAATATATACAGACACTCTTCACTTAATGACCAAGTTCCGTTCCTGCAACTAAGTCATTAAATAAATTGGTTGCTAAATGAGGAATTGTATGTACTATGTACATTACAATATTCTTAGAACAAAGAAATGGTCACAGGAAATTCCAACTTGATGACTTTGCTTTTATTTGCATGACTCTTATGTAGTACTGTAATGTATTACAGAACATAAAATTACAGTACTGCACTGTACAGTACAATTGGTAAATCTCACAGTACTGTACTGTAGAAGAAGCCCCCCTAAGTCCACACTGCCACTCATGGTCCTGCAATGTGGGTCTGAACTTGGGTCCTGAGTCCCCGAGGTGGGTCATAACTCTGAACAGTGCTCCTGGGCCATAAGTCAAACAGGTTGGTCGTTAAACGATGAACTTCTGTCTACTACGAGAAAAGAGTTAAAGGGATAAAATCTATAGGGATACTGACTGGGAAGTCCTATGAAAAGTATGTTTCAAAAGCAGTTTTACTAAGTAAAATAGATTAATTAGGAAATATTTATTCTACCTCCCCACTGACTTTCCCACCCCATTGATATTAGGCTTGGTCAAGTGACTCGCATTGGCCGATGGAATCGGTGAAGTGACAGCGTCCAGTTCCAAGCAGAGGTTCAAGACATGGCTTCTCTTTTTCCTTTCGTGTTCCTACCATCTGCCTTCACAAGGTAATGTTGAATCCTTTAGCCTGGGTTTCAGAATGTGATACTTGAACCCAGCCTTTAGCCTGGGGTCACGCTCAGCTGACTTAGCCAAATGCATTTGAACTAGTCCTTGAGAGTGAAAAAGAAAGTGGACAGCTTAGCAGGGAGAGGCAAGCCTGCATTCCCAGACACCTGGGAGGCTGAGACAGAACCATCACAAGTCTGAGGCCAGTCTGAGCACATTAGTAAGATCCTGTCTCAAAGGGAAATGATAAGAAGAGCTGGGTTGTAGCTCGGTGCTCCCTGGGGTCCATCCCTGGTACTGAAAAATAAAATATCATTGTAATCAACCACTGCAATTTTTGGAGTTGGTTGTGATGCAGCATTATTATAATAAAACCTAACTAATACACTTCCCAAAGTTTTGCAGTATCTTTTCTAATATATGTTAATTAACAAAAATAGAGGACTTGGTCTGGTTGTTAATTCACTCTTAGAATTACTTTTGCAAGGGGGCTGGGGATTTAGTTCAGTGGTTCCGGCACCTGCCTCGCAAGCGCAAGGTCCCAAGTTCGATCCCCGGTACTAAAAAAAAATTATTTTTGCATATGACCTGCCTGTAAAATAGTATTCTCTTTACTGGATACATTCCATTTGCCCCTCTAAGTTCACTCTCCAATTCTTTTTTTGCAGGGAGGGTACTGGGGATTGAACTCAGGGTCTTCACACTGAGTTACATACCCAGCCCTTCAAAATTTTATTTTTCAAACAGGGCCTAAGTCACTAAACTGCCCAGATTGGGCTCGAATTTGTGATCTCCTGCCTCAGCCTTCCAGAGCACTGAGAGTACAGTCGTGTGCCACCACGCCTGGCTCACTCTCCGTTCTTTTCCACCTTGCTCTGTGCTGCAGGAGGCTTAAAGTAGGGTCTGATCTACGGGGAGATCAGAAGGGAGAAAGGAGAGCGAGGTGGGAATACTTCACTTCTGCTGGGCCTGTGGCCAGCACACGCCGCCCCAGGCGGGCAGCCCTCTCCCTGAGCTGCAGTACGCGCTGCTCCCTCCGTGCTCATCTTGGGGAGGTCAAGCCCCGAGTCCCAGCCCCAAGGTTCTGCGCCGCCCCTGGTGGTTCCCCCCACCTTGCCCACACCTCATCAATAGCCCTTTATTAATTTTTCCACAAATTACTCATTTTTATCACGCCATCCATTTCCCTTGCGACCTTGTGATACAATTTCCTTGGCTGAATTATACGAAAAGTGTTTAAGTGACAGAAGTTCAGTTTAATCTAGTACGCAGACTAAAACGCTGTACACCCATTGTACACACCACGGGAAGCCTGGCCTCTCACCTCCCTGGTCTCGAGTTCATTTTCAGGCTCCCACAGCACTCTCAGGACATGGCTTTCCGTCAGGCATCGCAATCTTACTCTAATAAACTTGCAACCTTTTCCCCTGCTGTCCACTGTTTTCCCTAAGTGATAGCCCAACTTAGTTTTAAACTTTCTTGTCAGGATTCCGTAAGGTTAGAAAGAAAAACGAAGCCAGGCATGGTGCCGCAGGCCTGCAATCCCACAGTGTGGGAGGCTGCAGAAGGAGGATGGCAAGTTCGAGCCCAGCCTGGGCAACTTAGTGACTTAGTGAGACCCTGCCTCGAGCAAAATAAAAATGAGAAAGGGCTGGGGGTGCAGCTCAGTGTGAAGGTCCTGGGTTCGATCCCCAGTACTGTGAGGAAGAAAAGTAAAAAGTAGAGAGGTTAGAAGAATATTTTTTCCCTTTGTAAGAACAGTACTTTTCTAGTAATAAGCAATCTGTTATTTCCCTCTGCTGCGTATCAGCTGTGGGGACATTGGCAATGTGTTTGTCCTTCCTATACCTAAATTTTCTCATTTTCAAAATAAGGACTAGAATGTCTACTTTAAAGGTTACTTTGGAAATTTAATGCAATAGCACACGTACCAGGATTAACACAGTGATAAGTCTCTATTGTCCCAATAAATGCCCCTTTGCACCATTTGTTCTCCCCACTACATATATAATTGCATTTCATTTCACTTTTGTTTTGCTTTGTTTGTGGGTTGCTTTTTGCTTTTGTTTTTGTGTTTGGTGCTGGGAATTAAAGACAAGGCCATGTCCTGGCTAAGTATGTCCTCTTCCACTGAGCTACACACCCAGCCTCACAGATTTTTATTTTTAAGTTTGATTTAGTCTTTCTGCAACTCTTTTTCAGTAATCTGGCTATTTAATGAATTTATTTTTCCCCTCCTTAGTTTTAAAACATTTTTTTGTTTTGTTTTTTGGTACCAGGGATCGAACTCAGGACCTTTCGCTTTTGAGGCAGGGGAGCACCACTGACCTAAATCTCCAGCCCTTAAAACAATTTTGAATTGTGGTAAGATATATATAGCATAAAGTTTATCAACTTAACCATTTTTAAGTATAAGGGTTAGTATTAAGCATATTCATACTGTTAACCAATCTCTACAATGTCTTTCCTCTTATAAAACTGAAGCTCTATACCCATTAAACAATTCCCCATGTGTCCCCTTCTCCCGCCCCCTAGAAACCACATTCTACTTTCTGTCCCTGCAAATCTGACTGCTCAAGATACTCTATATAAATGCAATCACGTGCTATTTGACTTTTTTGTGGCTGCCTTATTTCCCTCAGCATATCATCCTCGAGGTTCATGCATATTGCTGTGTCAGTTTTCTTGGACACGTTAAAACAAACTAAGATGTGCTTGCCCTAAGTGCTAGATTCCTTTTCAGATTACATTTCTCCCTGTGTTGAAAGATAACGATGCCCCCATTATTGTATTTATTATTGTGAGACTACAGTGAACTACATGCTTAGAAAGCAGACTCTGGTTGCTGACCTGACCAGGCCTCTGCCACACTCTGGGTCAGAACTGGAGAGAAACAGTTAATGAGCAGAAAAGAATGCTGTAAAAAGCCCCTTTCAGCCTTTAGGCACGTGGACGATGTATGGCTCCCAGACTTCTTGGGGAACTTTGACTTAAAGTGCTCACTTGCCTCACTCCTGCCCCGCGTTGCTAGGTTCCTTTCTGGGCTCAGGTCAGGCTCTGCTTTCCGAGCTCTCTCCTGGTTCAGGACGTGCAGCCTCCCAGGGTTCCTGGAGCTCTTCCCACTGTGGTGACTTGGGTTTCCTCCAGGGCCTTCCCAGGGCAGCAGAGCGGCGGCCTCCCTGGAGCAGGCTCAGGCTCGCAGGTGCAGGCAGAAGGCAGGGAATGCTCCCGGACCCACCACACTCCTCTCTGCAGCCCTGGGCCTTGCTCTTTTCTACTTCTGTCTGAGGCGAGTATGAAGGGAACACGGTGGGGATGGGTCCGGCCAGGCAGGGAGAAGGAGAAAGCTGGACAGAGGGAAGACCCGGGCCTGGGTCCAGGCCAGCTGTGGAGAATTCCTCCATGCGGTCAACATTTCCTGTGAAAACATACCCAGTAATTCTTAATCGCAACCTCCTTGAGGAACATTTACGAATCATAAAAATTAATTTATTAAAACAATCTTTATGGATGACCGGCAAAGCAGACTCTATCTCCCCTTTCCATTTTCTTCGTCTGAAATAACTTACCCGAATCTTCCTCTTCCCCTCCACAGACTTCAATCCCTTAAAATTCAGCAAAAACTCACCGCTTCCAGCACTGGGTCCTGAAGAAAAGGCCTGGCCCTACATAATATTCTAGTCACAAAGTGTTGGCCTTTTAATTAATCCAAGAGATAGATTCCTGAAACGTTTGCAAATTACTAAACTCTGGCGCATTACTCTATAATGCGAATAATTGTCCTTAGTATATAGGAATGTAGACATACATACCTTAATGATATGTGCATGTGTATATGTAGCATGCAGTTAATTTTAATGAAAAATTTATTCGCAGTACTTGTGTTGGATACTTTTAATATGCTGCCTTGTAAATCTTTTGGTTGTGATAGATGTTTAAGGAGCAGGCCTTTACTATGTTCCTCAGGAACATAAATTAGCAGAGTTCTCAGCCTACAATATAGTTAGGAAACAGTTTCAGAAACATTTGTTAATAATTGTACTTAGAGTTCTAATAATGATCAGGGAGTAGAGACAAAAAAAACTTTGCCAAAGTATAATTGAAAAACAGTGAATCACTGATAAAGTACACAATTTGTAAGGGGTGTGTGTGTGTGTGTGTGTGATGCTGGAAACAAACCCAGGGCCTTGCATAGGGAGACGAGTACTCTAAGGCTCAGCTCCATCCTGGACAGTCCCAATAATTTGTAAATTTGGATACACAGACACACACAGTCACACGCACACACACATATGTATATACATGCACGTATCGATCACCCCCCAAATTTTTCTGCACCCCTCTGGGGTAATTCTTTCCCTTCTCTTCCCTTCTCCACTTACCTTCCCTCCCCCAGTCGAATACTGAGGGTTGAGCGCAGGGCTTTCACACTGAGCTACATCCCCAGCTCCTCTTTAATTTTGGACAGGGTCTCACTAAGATGCTGAGTTGCTCAGGCTGGACTTAAACAAGCCACCGTCCTGCCTCAGCCTCCCAGAGTGCTAGAACCACAGGTGTGTGTCTCCACACCCAGCTTTTTGTAACGACAGGTTGGCTTGCGTTTTGTAGGATTTTATATAAATGGGATCATACAGTATATGCTAACTTTGGTTTGGCTTATTTCCCACAGCATTTGGAAATAAAGTTACCATGAATGTATTTGCATGGACATATGCTTAAATTTCTCTAGAGTATATACCTAGGACTGGAACGCTTAGATCATTTGATAAAGCATATTCAACTTTTTAAGAAACTGCCAAGAATTGATTCAACAATTTTATTTCCCCACTGGAAATTTATGAATGCTTCAGTTATTCTGCATCTACAACCAAATTTGGTATAATCTTTTCAGTTTGAGACATCCTAAATGTAGAGGTATCCCCTTATTAGTTTTAACGTGCATTTCCTAAGTGACCAATGATGTTGAAAAGGTGCTTACCTGCCATGTATTATCTTCTTTGGAGAAGTGTCTGTTCAAATGTTTTGCTCACTTTTTAGATTACTTTTTTTTTTTGAGGCGGGGTCTTGCTTTGTAGTTCAGGCTGGCCTTACGTAGGCGTTTGCCACTACACCTGGCCTTATTTTTTATTGTTCAGTTTTGAGAGATCCATATATTCCAGATCCATTCTCTGTATCAGATGTGTGATTTGCAAACATTTGCAAGGTCAAATGTACATCAGTCATGGACATTAAAATTTGCTCTAACAATTCCCCCTTTTATCAATGCCCTGTACAGCATGTACTGTATACTGACAGGCAGACCGGGTGTGATGGGAGGGAGCACGTGAAAGGCAGAGAGAAAGGGAAAGGGTAAATCAGTAAGAAGAGAGAGAGAGAGAAGAGGATACCAATAGATGAGAAACAGGAGGCTGGATTTGGTTGGAGTAACTTTACAGCTGGAGCAAACGGCTAGTGTTGAGGGGTCTGAGGGAGTATTTGCGGGAGCAAGAGAGGGGTGCAGAGGGGAGCCGAGATTGTCAGAACCTGTGAGTGTGTTGTAACTTACATTTGGATGCTCTATACCCAGCTGTGGTGGGGGTTACCCTTAAGTAAAGGTGCTATTCAGATAAAGCACTGCTTAATACATATTCGCCTCTGCAACGTATCTGCCAAAAAATGCACACACACTTCAGGAAAAGACAAGCAGTATGATGCTTTGCCAGCAGACGACGTCCCCCTCCTACGGGCCATCCTAGAGGACGTCGCATACCGCAGAAAACCCACTGCACTGCCGCTCCTTGCAGGAGGAATTGAGAATGCACGGCCGCGAGCTCAGCGCCCGAGATCACCGGGCAGCGCCCGCCTCGCTAACACCCGTCTGGGAGCGCGCGGCCACCTCGCCGAGCAGCTCTCGCGATAGCAGAGGCAGCTGCGCAAGCGCGGGGCAGGCGCCGCGGGCTCAGGCTCCGGGAGCCCTGACAGTGCGGGCCGGGTCCCCCCAGCTGCCCGCTCCCACACCCGCCTTCTTCCCGCCTCGAGGCTTCTTCCTCGCTCTGGCTCTGCTGCCACCCCGCAGCCGCGAGGGCCCCGGGTCTTCTTCGCGGGTTTCTGCCGGCTGTGACTTCTCCTTCCTAGTAACTTCTGCTTCCGGCGTTCATTGACTCCGGGTGCAAATTACGCACACTGACCCAAGACCTCCTCTCCTTATCTAGGCCTTCAGTGCTGCTGGAAGAACTTCCTTCGCCTGCATCTCATAACTTTCTGTGTGTTGTGATTTCATTCCACTTGAAATATGTTTTTTTTTTTTGCTTTTTTCCTAGACCTACTCTAGGGTTTTTTTCCAGATATTTGTGGGGTTTCCAGATTTCTTCGTATTACTGATTTCTCATATAATTAATTTAAGATGTGAGAACAACTTTGTATGGCTTGAACCCTTTCCCATTTATTGAGACTTGTTCTATGTCACGGAACACATTCCTTCGTGGTAAGGAGTCCGTGTGGACTGAAAAAGATCCTTGTGTTGTTGGATGGAGTGTCTCACAAGTCTCCACTGGGTCAGACTGGTTCATGGTGTTGTTCCAGGCTTCTCCAACCTTTGGTATTCTGTCTCCTCCCTCTGTCAGCCATTGAAGAGCAATTGGCGTCTCTGACTTTAGTGCACAATTCTACCAGTTTCTTTTTCTGTTTGGTTTTGTTTTTGTTTTTTGAGACAAGGTCTCACTATATAGTTTAGGCTGGTCTTGACCTCACTCTAGCCCAGGCTGGGCTTGAACATGGGGTGATCCTCCTGTCTCAGACTCCTGAGTGCTGGGATTACAGGTGTGCACCACCACATCACGCTTCTACCAGTTTATGTTTCATATAGTTTGAAGCTCTGTTGTCAGGTGAATGAACATTTAGGATTATTTTGTTTTCTTGATGAATGGATATCTTTATCATTATGAAAACAGGGCCAGGAGTGGTGGCACACACCTTTAATCCCAGCACTGGGGAGGCTGAGGCAGGAGGATTGCCGTGAGTTCACAGTCAGCCTGGGGTAAGTCGTGAGTTCAAGGCCAGCCTGGACTGAACATACATAGCGAGATCCAGTGTCAAAAGAAAAAAATCTGTATCTCTGGCAATATTCTTTGGTTTAAAGTCCATATAATATTAATATATCTACTGCACCTCTCTTTTGCTGTAGTATTAATATGACCTGGCTTTTCCATCCTTTTGCTTTTATTCTATTTGTGCTTTTGTATTTACAGTTGCACATAATTGTGTCCTCATCTGTCTTAATCCCTGTGAGTGCTTTAACAAAATACCATGCACCGGGCGGCTTATAAAGACAGAAATTTCTTTCTGACATCTCTGGAACTGAGAAGCCCAAGATCAGGGCGCATCAGGGTCTAGTGGGGTTTCATTTTCTGGTTTATGGATGGCGACTTCTGAGTCCTCATTGTTGTGTATTTTGTCTGATTTTTAAAAGCTTATTCCCAAAAGGAGGACAAACGTAATCCCTGTTACTCCACCTTGCCTGGAAGCAGAAGTTTTGAAAGGGTCATGAGTGGTACAGATCCATGGTACAAGGTCTATCATCCAATTAAAACTACATTTCAGGAATGGCGCAAGGCAGGGATCATGGGTGATTTTTGTCTTATAATGATATGAGCTTTTCTGTTTCCATTCATTGAACATGTTTTCCTTCCCCATTGAAGTGCATTGATGCTGCTGAAAATCACTTTCCTGAATATGTGTGGGTCTCTATTTTGTTCCATTTTTGTCTATTGTGCAATATTATGACATTAATTAATATTAATACTATATTAATTAGTATTAATTATTAATTATAGTGGTCCCTTGAGTTATAACCAGCCTGACATACCAACACCTTGGGTTACGACTGGAATTTTAGTTTTAATTTAACAACCTAAGTCTTGAGTTATGACCCAAATGCTGGCCACTTGTGCTTCCAGATGGTCTCAGATACAGATTTAACCCTTAAAGAGTTCTGGAAGGAACATTACAACATCCTCCTGTGTGAGGTTCATTGAGAAATCCTGGGCCATTGTCTCTCTAGGGACACTAGGATCTGCTTGCATACAGGAGAGAGACTTTGAAGGCTGTGTATAGGAGCCTCGGCCTTCATGACCAACTTGAGTTACAACCAGACCTTAAAAATGAATTGAGTTCGTAAGTCAGATGTCCTCTGTACTTTATGATAACTGTGAAAACTTTGTAGGGTATGTTATCTAGATATTTGTTCATTTTCTAAGATTGTTTTGGCTGTTCTAAAGCTTATATTTCTATATAAATTGTTAAATTCCCATTTCTTTTTTTTTTCTTGGGTTTTGATTGGAATTGGATTCAATCTATAGATTCATTTAATATTGATAAACATAGATTCATTTAAGAATAGTTGACCTTTTAACAATATTGAGTCTTCCAATCTATGAACATGATGTACATCTCCATTAATTTGGTTTTTAATTTCTCTCAATAACATTCAGTAGTTTTCATGACAAATATCTAGCATGTTCTATATTAAATTTGTTCCTAAGTATTTGATTTTTTTTGTTATAATGAAAATATATTTTTAATATGTTTACATTTTGTCTATGTAGTAATTCAATTATTTGTTGCTAACGTAGGAATACAATTAATTTTTGTATACTGACCTTTGACTCATTAGCTTGATACACTTAATTATTGTAGTACTTTGTAGGTTATTTGGATTGATTTTCATTGAACACACTCATAAAGTTTTATTTCTTTCATAGCACTTATTATTCTTTTTCTTTTTCTTGCTTTTTTGCACTAGCCAAACCTCTACTAATATATTAAAAAGACTTGGTGAAAATAAACATCTTTGTCTTATTCCAGGTTCTCAGGAAAATCACTCAATTTTTCACCACTAAATATGATATTAGATATTTTGTAGATGTGCTTCATTAGAAGAAAAAGTTCCTTTCTATTCCTAGGTGTTGCTTGTCTAAATTTTCAAATAGTGGACCTATTCAATAAGACATAAATTTGAACCACTCCAATATTTGAAATTACATGTTTAGATTTATTCACCCATTGCATACCTTCACCTTTACTTTGCTAGCAGAGGTGTATTAAAGCCACAGATAGATATGGATGCCGGATTTTTGGCTAAATCCACACTTATTAGACTCCTGCTGATGTATACTAACTTGACAACTTGGCCATTCAGGTTTTACCAGCAAAATTAGAAATAACTAAGTATAATTAGTTTTCAGGGTTCTGGAATATAGTGGAAATCTACTCTATCAAATTTTAAAAGTCCTTGTTTCTTTTCTTTTAGTTTCTACCCCTTCCACTTAGTGTGATTTAGGAAGGTTTGATTTAGTAATTCAATTACTTACATATAACTTCTTTAAATTTATTGCCAGCTTTTAAAAACAGCTGGCAAAATTCTTGAGAAATTTTATTAATATATGTCTATTTTCCTTTCTTTATTATTGATATAAAACATACATACTAAAAAATACAGAAATGATAAGTGTAATCTTTCATGACTTTTTTATGACTATGGACTGAAACCTCTACAAACTATGAGCCAAATAAACCTTTCCTCCTTTAACTTTGGATATCGGGTATTTTGTCTCAGCAATGAGAAGAGTAATTAAGACAGATGTCTTTTCTATTGGAATATATGTTTTAAAAATAACTTTACCTTTAAGTAATAAAAGAATATAGACAAAAACATGTTTAAATAATTAAAATTTAATTGATTGACTTCTTAATATATGCTTATTTACTTAGTTAAATATATATACTTAATATATACTTACTTAGTTACACTGGACTGTAACTGAGAAGTGAAACAATTTATCTTAGTTTAAAATAAGAAAAAAACTGAATCAGATACTTAATTTTGTTGCTGTTTATTTGGAGTAAGTTGAATTCAAATGTGTTAAAGTTTCCAGAAATGAATTAGATTTTTTTTAATAACACAAGGGCTTCTTCAGACAGAAAATCTTTTTACTACATTATACCTTAAATAATAGGATCTTTGAGTACACTGAAATTTTTTTTCTAAAGATCAATAGAATGGGCCAACTTTAATTATTCAGAATTGGCAAACTTTATTCAGAGCCAAAAATCAATGAACATCAATCATAAAGAAAAACAAATTACCAAATTTTAATTTGAACTGTACACTAGGATGGCACAAGGCATGTGAATGGACTATTTGCCTTAAATCCAGTTTGGTTTTTTTTTGCTACCGGGGATCAAACTTGGGTCCTTACGCTTGCAAGGCAGGCAGTGGAACCACTGAGCTAAATCCCTGACCCTAAGTCCACTTTTAATATATTCTAATGCCCACTACAGACAAGTAGATAAAATCTTCATATTTACCAATTTCCTGCTGAAAATGAGGTAAGTTAGAAAGCCACTGTTTGTTCCCTAACACCAAAGGTCTCATTTTGGAAGGTGTGACTCTCTTGAGAGGCAGTGGGGTTGATTTTATGACCTTATTCTCTCACTCAGTGTAGACAGTGAAGTCATTTAGAAACTAAAAGGCAGACATTACATGGTAAAATGGAACTACAAAATTTGAGCCACTAGGAATGATCAGACTTTAACATGAATTCAACTTGGTGGGTTTATATTGTTGTAATTTTTCCCTGTTGCATTGTTCATAATTTCAACTGCTTAATATTAGGACTCAAATTTGATCTTACTTCCTTTATTATACAAGGAGTTTGTACAAATGGAAGCACAATCAATTGTTCAGAAAAAGTTCTGCCTCATTTCCAAGGATAATGCTTGGCTATGTATGTCATTAAAGATTCTAAGAATATTTTAAATTGAATAACTAGTTAAAATGTTTTAAATATTAAATTATGATCTCTTGAAAGGCTAATTTGAAAGTTATTTTCATTTGGCCTATGTTACATTCTTAAAGAAAACAATTACACGAGAAATTTAAAAGTTTTACATACCTGAGCTGGTTATGTTCACTGCCATCAAGCCTTTTCTGTTCCTCCTCTGATGTCACTCCTAGGTCTGGTTCTGTGGACACATGTATATATTTAGTTAGAATAAGCTACTTAGGATAGTTTTTATGAAAATAGAAAATAAAAATTATTATTAAAATTTTATTTTTATTCCCCCAATTAAGAATGTAAGTTAAGCCTAATCTTTAGATGAATGTTTATTCATTTAGGTAATCCTTCTAATACTCCAAGACTTTCAACAGATCACCCAGAGAGGCACTAGCTGTAAAGCATACAAACATCTCAAAGATTCATCCACAAATTCATCCACTTAGTGTAAATCAACAAACCTTCAGAAACAAAATTTAAAAGTACCACAGAACCATAAATCCACACTGTGCACTATTCTGTACCTCGTAATAGTAACTTTTAACAACCTGCTAAGAGTATTGTTCATCTTTAACGGTTCTCAAAATTACTGTTACTTTTCACACCTTTATCTGTGAATTTACCCTCTCCTTATATTTGAAATGTTTTCACTACCCTAACAAATTTTTTGTTTGTTTGTTCTGAGACAAAAGTCTTCCTTGATTACACTTATCTTTCCTTAGATAAACAGGGGTCTCCTCAGGGCTTAGTACTCCAACAACTTTTCTACTGCATCTTTAGCACTTGAACTATAAAGTATTTCTGTACATTTCTCTTTCTCCTGGACCAGAAGAGACAGTCTTTTAAATCATCTCTGCAGAAGTAGTCTTTGTTTTACTCAAAAATCATTGATTTCCTCTAAGTGCGATGCACTGGGGTTTTAAGAGTGTCAACCAAGGAGTCAGGAATGGCTTTTCTAGAGGGAATGCTGGAGCTGAGACTTAAGAGTGAGGTCAGCGAGATGGAGGGCAGCAAAGGGCAAGAGCATGAAAAGCAGCGGCACGAGAGGAAGAGGAGACTGGCACTGCCTACCTGTACTTGTCTACAAACACAGGGATTGGTGAGAAGAACATCACCAGCAGTTTGGTAATGCCAGGGAAAGGGCACAAATAGAAAAGGACTAAAGAAGGAAAGGCAGAGGTCAGACTATTAAAGGATTATTTGCAACCTTATGATGCTTGGATTTCAATGCTTGAGGAGTGGTTCGTGGTCATGTTTGCATTGGGGCAGGTATTTGTAAATATTAGGATGAACATGACGGGCAGGAGGAGAAAGGGAGCAGAGGTGTTAGGAGAAGGCCACAGCGCAATGTAAAGATCACACAGGCCTCATCTGAGCGAATGCTTCCAGAAGCATTTAGGATACGGAATTATCAGTGCCAGCCTTGAAGGAAGTCTCAGTAAATGAACAAATGTACACACCGGGGTCCCTGGAGGAATGAGCTCTCTGCTCAACTGACAGAGGGATCAAATGAGATGTGAAATGAACAACAGAACTGTTTGAGTTGCTTACGTTTATTTTGTAGGTTTTCTGTTTTACATCTTCCTATGTTGAGGAAACTCATTCAGGTTTTTTGTTTAAATGTCCTACTTATAATACTTGTGAATTCAGAGCTGTGAAATAAAGAAACTAGGTTGTCTCTGAGTAGGCAATTTTTAGATTGCTGTTTTTCATACCTAGTCCCAAAATTCTGAAAATCCTGGCACCCATTCTGAAATTTATGCTGCTAGTCTAAACTAAATTACTTTCTTCTAATTCTCTTTGTAATTTTTGTGTGGTTTGGTTACGTAGGAAGAATACAAATGTGTTATTAAAAGGCATTCTGACCCGGGCATGGTGGCACATGTCTGCAATCCCAGCACGCGGGAGGCTGAGGCAAGAAGATCGCCGTGAGTTCGAGAGCAGCCTGAGTTAGGTAGCAAGTTCAAGGCCAGCCCAAACTAATAGAGACTCCCGTTTCAAAAAACAACAGCCACGAAGAAAAATGAATACATTGTTTGACTGTAGGTTTCCGAAGAGGAATAAAACAGAAAGCAAACTTTTGCCACAAAATGATTTTTGAAAAGCCAGAACCACAGTATTATAAAGGCGTCCAGAGGTTCTCTAGGGTTGGCTTCTACTTCACCTTCTTTGTCTTCTGTTTGCTGATTTGCACAGGTCCTGCCGGGTATAATTCCCTAGTAGACACGGCTCCAGAAGTCACCTTTTCTGTTTCTGTCAAGGCTGTCTTTCCAAACTCTGGCGATGGTGACTGAGCTTTGGCCACTGATTGTGATACAAGCGGACCGTTACCTCCCGCCTGACCTGCGCATGCGCCGCCGTCCTCTGCGTCCCTCCGTTGACGTCGGTCCGTTGACGTCAGTCCGTTAGGGGCGGATCCCGCATTTGTGGCGAGGTCTTACTTTTCCCCCTTGTGTCCCACGTGATCAGCACCCAGCCAGTGTCTCCCTCCTGAGACAGCTTCAGCCAATCAGCTGAGACACTGCAGGCCAGGCACGTCTGTAATTCTACACCTCCTCACCCAAACTGAGAATTGTTATTCCCCAAATTGAAAAGCACTTTGTCCGTACGCAGAAAGTGGAAAAACTATTAAAAAAAACAAGTTGGCTTGGTGTTTTTCTTCTTAGTTTCTAAATTGTGCTGAATATTTCTGACTGCTCTCGCTTTCCATTTCCTTTTTAAGCCTCACCACTTAAGAGGTTGATAGAACTTGTCAACTATAGCAAGATTTTCACTGAGAATTGTTTTTGTTTTGCTTAAGTTTTAAGGTAAACCCTATTTGTAACCCAAATTTTGCTTTTCTGTGTTGTTTTACACTACGGAAAAAAACTTGGTGGGAAAAATATTTCACACAAACAAAAGCTGCACCTTTAACCAAGGCAGAGTTTTTACAGATATTCACCATTAATGAAAAAAGGAAGATACTCTCATTCTTCTCTAAAGTATCAATATTGAAAATGAAATCTTTGACAAGTACCTTATTTCAAAATATTTTCATTCAGAAAATTGCTGAGTAGATAGAAACAGACCCAACGTACGTCACAGTTAACACAAACGCATTTGAAATATTTTGAAAATCAGCCGGGGCCCTGTGTTTGGCTTCCATATTTGCGCTGTATGCGAGGGGTTTCACTGATACTGGCGCACAGGCAGCAGAATGGACAGCACGGTGGCCCTGGCACTCTTTACAGCTGGACTGGCGCTGTGTTCCAGAGAGCAGCCACACATTCCTCTTCCTGGTATGCCACAGCTTGTTGGTGTATCACGAAGCAGAATGTCAATTCAAGGAATTCACGACACACACTCCACAGGGTTCACCAGTTATTCCGATGTAAACAAGGTCAGCTCTTCTTGGTTACAGGGTTTAAGTCCAGCCCATCTCACGCTGAAGCCATTGGCTCCTGCCTACCTCAGTCGGGGTATCTGTCCTGTTGTCACCATCACCCATGCCAGCCTCACATTTCCTCTCTGCCGGGAGTCACCGCACTTGGATGGCCACAGGGCACACAGGCAACTGCAGACTGGCTCTGGCGCTGTGAACGGGTTCGTTAGCAAAGTGCACAGCTCCATCTCAACATACAGAATGCCTCCACTTATAAAATTAAGTTTACAGGTGGTTCTGCCTTCAAAACAAACAGTTGCTTTCCTCCTGAAGAATGTCCCATATTTATTAGCTCTCATTACTCAGTACATTAATGAAAGAATAGCCTGTTTGACTATTTGAATTTCAAAAGCCATTTTTATGTTTTGCAGTGCTGGGGACAGAACCCAGTACCTTGTGCACGCAAGACAAGTGCTCTACCACTGAGCAACCTTTCCTGCCAGGAGCAGCCTGTGTGAAGAGAAAGTGCACTGGGTGTTATTTGTTCCTTAAAGGTCTGGTAAAACTCAGCGATGAGTCCGTTCAGTCTTTAGCTTTTCGTTGGTGATAGGTTTTTATTCTTCCTTCAATCTCATTGCTTACTATTTATTGTTCAGTTTATTATATCCTCTTGGTTCAGTGTTATTAGGCCATATGTGTTCAGAAATGTATCCATTTCTTTCAAGATTCTCTGATTTATTGAAGCATAGGGTTTTGAAATATTCCCTAATGATCTTCTGAATTCCAGTACTGTCTGTTGTAGCATCCCGTTTTTCACATCTGATTATTGATTTGGGTTTTCTCTCTCTTTTGGTTATCTCAATTAAGGGTTTATCAATCTTATCTATCCTTTCAAAGTACTAATTCATTGTCTCATTGATCCTTTGAAATTTTAGTTTAATCTCCATTTCATTAATTTCAGGTCCAGTCTTTATTATTATTCCTTCAAATGGTTTTGGTTTTCTAAGACCTTGAGATACATCATTAGGTTTTTTATTTGGGATCTCTCTGATTTTTTAATTCAGGCACTCAGAACTATAAGCTTCCTTCTTAGACCTACCTTTGCTGTATTACAGAGGTTCTATTATGTTGTGTATCTATTTTCATTGTCTAGGGATTTTAAAATTTTTGTCTTTGATTTCTTTAGTGACCCACTGCATTTAAAAGTGAATTATTCAATCTCTATGTGTGTGGGCATTTTTGGGGGGTACTGAGAATTGAACTCATCTATGTATTTTTATAGCTTCTGTAGTTTCTCTTGTTGTTGATTTCTTGTTTCATTCCGCTATGGTCTGATAGGATGCAATAAATTATTTCAGTGTTTCAGATTTGTTCTATGGCCTAAAAATATGATCTACTTTGAAAGTTCCATGAGCTTCTTAGAAGAATGTGTATCTTTCCTCTGTTTGATGGAATATTCTATAGATGTCTGGTAATTCCATTTGCTCTATGATGTAATTTAACTCTGTTTTCTTTGTTGACTTTTTGGTCTGGATAGTCTATCTTTGGTGAAATTAGCATATTGAAGTCACCCACTATTATTGTATTGGGGCCTGTGTCCCTTTATGTTGCATAGTTTTAATAAAATTGAGCACATTGATGTTATATTTGTAATTGTTATATCTTCTTCTGGATTGTTTCTTCTATCAATATGTAGTGGCCTTGTGTGTCTCGTCTGGCCAATTTTGTCTTGAATTTTGCTTTGTCAGATATGCATGTGGCCACTCTTGTTTGCTTTTAGGTTCAGTTCGGGTTGTAGGAATATCATTTCTCATCCTTTCAGAAAGTAATTGTTTTTATGCAAACATTTCAAGTATAACAGTATAGACTTTCACATTTGATTGGGTCACAACGTTTTGCTCAACTTTCGAATGCTTGGAATTAAAACTACCCATTTTTCCTTCTAAAATAATCTGTGAGTGCAAGGCATGTTTCTAAATAGTACTGGAAATTTCAGAATTGTATGGTGAATATATAGAGTTGGTCCACCTGGTCAGTCCAGGGTTTATTAGTAACATGATGTTAAAGGTTAAAAAGAGAACTGCTCTCTTCAGTACTAGGTCTGTAATCCCATTTCCCATGGGGCATCCCTGCAAGACAGTTAAAGCTTCCAGGGTCGTCGGCCTCAATAGCAGCCTATCCACAAGAGGAGTAAGAAAACTGATCAGAATTCCTGCCAAGAGTGTGCTTTAAAAAGTCCTAGCCACTCCAGATGTGACTGTGGAAGCTGAGTCCAAGTGTAAGGTTTCAGTTTCGTGTTTCTCCTCGCTGACTGCACACTGCATCATGACTGGGTGCATCATCTTCCATGAACTCCCTGTGACACAGTGGATTTCACTGATGAGGGAGGACTGTGACCTGGAGGTTCCCTTGCCTTAGCAGGAGCTGGCTTCACCCAACTCACTTTGACGCAGTGGGCAGCACATGGCCCACAGTGGTTTTGTAAAGCATGGGCCAAACTGAGGAGATGTCCCCAAGTGTTGGCGGCACCATACCAAACAGATCATCTATCCCATGTCTGGAATCCTGGGTGCTCACGTGAGACCACCTCCTGCATCCACAGAGGAGGAGAGGAAGCAGCAGGTGACGTGTGGAATCAGTACTGTTGGGCTTGCTTCAAGGTTTCTGCAAAGCTCAAGAACCGACCTTGTGTTGTCAGAGACACATTTGCAGAGTTTTGACAGCTTCTCTCAAGCCCCTCGAGTAAGACCCAGGTGTAAAATTATAGCAACCTCAGAATTTCCAACTGCTGATAAAGCTAGACGAGAAAAAATTAAGAAACTGCTTAACGTTTTTCTTTCTTTCCTTTTTTTTTTCATTTTTGTTTTTTTGAGGCAGAGTCTCCCTTTGTAGTTCAGCTGGCTCTGAACTCACCATGTAGCCCAGGCGGGCCTTGAACTCACGGCGATCCTCCTACCTCAGCCTCCTGAATGCTGGGATTACAGGCATGTGCCACCAAGCTTGGCTCTACTTTTCAAATACTTTGTAAATCAACTTAAAACAATTGCATTTTTGAGAAAATAAAAAGTTTGGGTCTTTTTTTAATAGTGAAAGAGGCTTTATTGAATAAGGCAAGCTAAGCATGAAGGAGAAATAAAGTTAAAAACACTAAACACCCTTACATAGCAAAGAAATATATTAAGACTTCTATTGGGCTGTGCCTGGGAGGGAGAACAGTCTTCATTCGCTTTGATCCTTGGGTTCTCAGTATTTCTACTGGATGTAATCAAAGATGTCTTTCTCACTCCACTGCCAGGGGTTCTCCAGTGACTCCAGTGACTCCCAGGGGACAGATAGTGTATTTGTTGATTGTGAAGCCCTGTTCTAGGGCATGAGCTCTCATATTCTTATTGAAAATATCACTCCCAGTGAAGGAGAGAACACCATCTTTAGGAATCAACCTGATATCAATTCTTGCGTGTGGATATTCCTTTTCATCATTTTTACTGGGAAGTTGGCAAAGACCCATAAACTTGGTCTCACCCTTTGATAGAGTATCTGTAATAAAATGGACCTTTTGTAATTGCTCCATGACATGATGTCATAGCTTTGGCTGTTTGCTTGATTCTGAAGTGAAGTTTGGATGGGTCAGAAGAACATCCATGTCACCACTGGATTCTGCACCTCTTCTGAAACTGCCACAGACTGTAGCAATGCATTCAGAAACCAGTTTTTTAACTTCACTTAGTATAATATCTTGCATTTGTAACACCTCTTCACGTGGGATTCTTTTTTCAAAGTCCTCAAAGTATTTCAGCCCAATTCGTTGATGATGGTTTAGTTTATCTTCATTTCTCCTGAGATCTTCTAATGTTTTAATTCCTTCATCTACAAACTTCCTTGCAGCAGATGGACCAATGCCACTAACTCGAGTTAGGAAATTGATGGAAGAACTTGTATCATCTTGCCGAATCTTTTACAGTTTATGCAATTTTCCAGTTGCTAAAAACTCATCAATTTTTTCAGCAATTTTTGTTCCTACTCTGGGCAATTTCTTGGCTTCTGCTTCACTCTTGATTCTGTGTGGGTACTCTGCTATAACTGATGCTGCTTTTCTGTAAGTATTGCATTTGTGGATAGCCTGGCTCACATTCTTCTCAAATTTTGCGAGTTCCATGAGCATGTCGGTGATTCCCCCGTTGAGCGTCTCCTGCAGTGCCTTCCATTTACTCACAGCGGCCTGAACAGAGGACCCCAGGTGTCCAGCACCTGGGCCGGATCCCCTCTCCCAATTGTATGGAGGGACCTGGACTTGGGGCAGGGAAGCAGCCAAGGCAGTGAGGCAAGTGCCAATAAAAAGTTATTTTAACAGCCATGAGTGGTGGTGCACGCTTGTAATTCCAGTGCTTGGGAGGCTGAGGCAGGAGGATTGCCATGAGTTCAAGGCCAGCCTGGGCTAAATGGTGAGACCCTGACTCAAAAAGCTAAAGGGGGAAAAAAGGTTATTTAAAAATGAATGAAATACATAAGTACAGAGTCTGAGGGCAAGGGAAAGAAAGAAAATGACATCAGTCGACCTGGTGACAGATAAATTTGGGGTCATCTAACAATAGTGCATGATCTACCCTGTTATGATCATTTGAGAATTTCTTTTAACCAAAAGTTACTGGCAGAAGAAATTCATCTGCTTCAAAAGTATACATTTTAGCATACTCAATACTTAAAAAATTGAAGCAAAAACCTTTCTTCAAAAATAAAGCAGGACTGTCTATCCTAATGAATTGATCTTTTTTTTTTTTTTTTTTTTGTACCAGGGATCGAACTTGGATCCTTGCGCTTGTGAGGCAGGCGCTGGAACCACTGAGCTAAATCCCCGGCCCAGCTGATCTTTGATATATTTGATACTCTATTAATGAGAATAATTCAACATCCAGAATATTCTGGTTCTCACAATCAGTCATGGCTAATTGCCAGCCCTGACTATGACCCTGGTTCAACCCTGACTTACTAATTCAGACCTCATGCGTGTCCAAGACCATTAAATTCCAGGAATTGTGCCAGTGGCCACTGCCATGGTTAAGACCCTGAAATAACGATGCTGATGATAATAGTTAATATGTGTCCAGTACCTATAATATGCAGGCATTGTTTTAAAGTGTTTAGCACATAGTCGCACCAACCATATGAGGTATGCTCAAGCACACAATCCTACTTCACAGCTAGATAAATGAGACTTGGAAAGTTTGAGTAACTTGTCAAGATCCCCACTGGGAAGCACCAGCCCCAGGCCTTGAGCACAAGGTGTTAGGTTCTTTGGGCAGTTGCAAGGCACCTATTTTGTGCAAGACACTATTCTAGGTACTCAAGATACATCAGGGAGCAAAATCTACACAACTCTATATACATAGGGTGTATATGTTAGTCAGGGGAAACAGACAAAAATTAAACAGATCAGATGGCATGTTATGAAATGATAGCTATGATGGTAAAAAATGAAAAGTAGAGTAGAACAAGGGAAGCATAGTATCTAGGGTGAAGTTATAATTTTAAGAAGGGTATCAGGGTATATTTCCCTGAGAAGATAACATATCTTTCCTCTTTCTAATTTTCAGTTATAATTTTTCTTTTGGTTTTTTGAGATAAGGTCTTGTTGTACATAGCCCAGGTTGGCCTCAAACTCGAAGTGATCCTTGTGCCTCAGCCTCCTGAGTGCTGAGATTACAGGCATGCATGCACCACCCTATCTGCCTTGTTATAAGTTTTTTTTTGGTATTGGGGATTGAACTCAGGTCCTTATGCTTGCGCAGCAGGCGGTGAAACCACTGAGCTAAATCCCCAGCCTTTGTTATAATTTTTATAATAATCTTTAAATGTTTCAATTTTAAAATAAACTGAAAAGTAAAGAGAATAAACAAAATCCACATTCCCACAGTCCAAGATTCAACAAATTTACCAACATTGTGACATATCGGTTCAGAATATTCTAAAGAACTAAAACACTAAACTAAAGAACTAAACTAAACTAAACTAAAAGAACCAAAAGAACTAAAGCACTGCAGAAGCCATAAAGGCTACAGCCCTGCTGATCTCATTCATCTCCCCTCCCCCTAATAACCAAATTTGCTGAAATTGGAATGTATTCTACCTATCCATATATTTCAACTTTACTACATTTGTACATATTCATAAAAACTTGTAAAGCAGTTTGGTATTTTTAAAAGTTTGTTTAAATATCATTCCTGTCGTTTTTCTCCTCTCACCTTTATATTCTTGGAAACTACATGTATATTTATGTAACATATACATGTGTGTATATATATATATACATATATATGTATGTGTATACATATATATATATATACATATATATACATTTCGTTTAAAGTTTCTCTATACCATGCCTATTAATGAACCCAGAGCCTCAGAATGCTAGGTACCACCCCGCCACTGAGCTACACCCTCAGTATCATCCTCGCTCTTAACTTCTCATCTAAGGATCCTATACACATTCTTTAGTTTTTATTTTAAATCTTGGAATCATGTAACTGTATTGTATACCTAAAATGGACCAATAAACTTAATGAAAAAAAATTTAGAATCAAAAACTTATAGAACTTGAAGGAAGCTTAAAGATGACGTGGACCATGATGAAACAAACAGCCTTCCAAAGCCACGAGGCCAACCTGCAGAAACGACGGACTTAGGGCCTGGCAGCCTGATAACCCGGCACCGGGCTCAGCGGACAACACTGAGGTCTAGATACACAGGGCTGCTGCAGACTGCTGCCGCGGCAAGTGAGAAGCGAAGACCGGCTGACGAGCAGGCTCCCCCTGGCGGGGATGAATCCCGGACACGCTGCTCTGCTGCAACCATCCGTGCCCAGTCTCTCGACCGCAACTCCGTACCTTCCCCCAGGGCCTCGGTCCTATTTCTTCTCTCTGCCCTGAAGTTTCTAAAGACAACGGGGATATCTGGCTTCCCGGTTCCCACAGCGTCCTGTCGCGGGCCCCCGTTCTGTCCTTTCTGTGGGACAGTGGGCCCTCGCGGTCTGCGGCTTCCAGCAGAGGGGACGGGCGGACCCTCGCGGCGGGACGCGGCGGGACACGGCGGACGGTGCGGGCGGACGGTGCGGGCGGACGGTGCGGGCGGACGGTGCGGATGGACGCGGAGCGATCACCCAGCCTCGGGTCCACAACCGCCGTGGCCTCCGCCACCGGACCGTCCCGAGTCCCGCCCGCTGCGGGGCGTGGCCACCCTGGGACACCAGTCCCGGATTGGCTCGAAGGGGCGCCCTCGGCCAATGAGGCGCGGGGGCGTTGTCCCGGGGTGGGGCTGCGGTTCCCCAGGCTGCGCGCGCCGGCCTCGCCCCGCCCAGCGCGACCCCCGAGTTCTTGCCGCCACTGCCCCGCGTCAGCCCGCCGAGTCCAGGGGCCTGGGCCCCGCTGGCCATGGCCTGGGCCACTGCGTCCGCGGCAAGGAGGGCCCTCAGCCGGGCCTCCACTCTCCTCCTGCGGCGCGGCTACCGGACGGAGAGGGGCGTCTACGGCTGCCCGCCGAGGAAGACCCAGACCCAGAGCCGGGAGCCCCGGGGCGGCCTGGCGCGCACTTCAGGTCTGGATCGCGGTGGGGGCCCCGCGGGAGGCTGTTGCAGGAGGGTGTCGGGTCCGGGAACCAAACCGCCGCCCCGTGGGTGTGGGCGCCCCGTGGAGAGTTAGAGGACACAGGATGTGGGCATGGATGTTTTCAGGCTTGGGGTCACCCCTTGTTTAGCCTCTGCAGCTGGGGACCCCTGAGATCGGGACTCAACGTTGGTTCAGTCTCCCCTTCCTAGTTCTGACTTGGTTTTAGGGAGCACTTTGTTTCCATCTTACTTTGTTAGTACACATTTGTAACTCCTGCAGTTTACGATCGTCTTGGGGAGGGATTGTATGTATATATTACAGCTTGATCTTTTAAATCTCCTTCCTTTTCCTTCCCCCTCCCTCCTCTCCCCGTACTTGTTGATATTATTTCTTTTAGCACAATTCATGGCCTATAATGTTTACACTGATTTGGGTTATTAGGTTCCTGTACTTGGCTCTCTGTTCTTCCCCTACGCCCTTCCACCCTTCCCCGTCCTTGTTCCCTTGGACCCTTCCCCTATTGGACGAGATCTGTCCCCATGTCCCTTTCTATCCAACTTACATCATTGTCTTTGTTTGTACTTTGCCTTATCAGATGAGGGATACTTTTTGAAACTGAATGTGTGGGAATTGTGCTCTTTAAGGGGGTGGGGCTGTAGAAAAAGAGAAGTCCCAGGAGGTCCAGACCCTGGAGTTGCCCAAAGGATACTTTCCGGGACCGGACCCAAGGCTGTGTCCTTGGATCTGTGGGGAGCAGAGGCAGTTCCACAGGTCTTAGGCCGTGTTACTGTTTGTCTCCTTGACCTAGCTACACTTTCCCTCTAATTTCAGAATTTCAACTCTGCTGAATTGAGAACCGAGTCGCTGCTGGTGGTTTTCATGGATTCAGTGACTTGCTATCTTTGCTGTGCACATGTGTGAGAGACTCGTGTTGAGTATTCTGTTTGTGCGCTCAAATTACTCGGTTTTCATCCATCCTCGCAGAATAGTAGATGAATACAGACTGATTGTTAGAGAAAGCATTTGGAACTTTGATCCAAAGATTAGGATCCCCTTCATCTAAGCACCTGACCTTTGAATCTTGCATCACACACTGGGCCCTAAGTATTTTGCTCTTCATCCCAGAGAACAATGAAAATAAACCTCATTTCTCTCTTTTGCATGCAATTTTTTAAGCAAAGCATTTTGGCGAACTAGATTTCAGACCCTTGATTTAGATATTTTATTTCACTTGGCAAATGAGTGTTTAGAATTTTCCCCCCTCGTGTTGGGGCAGGAACCCAGGGCTTTCTCTCCCACTGAGCCACATCTCCTTCCTCCTGGAAGTTTCTGTCAGTTGTTCTCAGACTCAGATGTGCATTAAAAGTGATTAAGTGGGCGGGGATTTAGCTCAGTGGTTTCGCAAGCGCAAGGACCAGAGTTCAATCCCCAATACCAAAAAAAAAGTGATTAAGTGGGCTGGGGATTTAGCTCAGTGGTTCTGCCACCTGCCTCTCAAGCTCAAGGCTCCGAGTTCGATCCCCAGTACCAAAAAAAAGTGATTTAAATGTTTACAGTGTCAGTTCCTAGATGTGACCCCTGCTCTCTCCCAGGTTCTGATTCGGGGAGGCGCAGGAATATGGTCTGTTTGCACCTTTCCCTGTGGTGCTGGGGATCAGATGAAAATCCTCGGGTGTGCCAGGCGAGTGCTCCGGCCTTGAGCTACACTTCCAGCCCAGGAATCTGTACTTTTACCAGGCACCCTATGCAGTTCCCTCACAAAGGCTCTTGGCCACCCTTGGCCACCACTTCTAGGCACAATGGTTCACATGCAGGACAAGGTGACAGCGCCATCTTCGCTTCAGATGCTGCTGCTGTGTGCTCAGTGCGTGGACTCTGGCCTCCTTTGGGGTGGGCCTTCCCTCACAGGAGGCTGATTTCTTACTCCGAGTCTGGCAGAAGAGAGCTGCATTAACATAGGCCCGTGGATCTCAGTTGGAAGATCCTGTCCGAATCATCTTGGCAGCTCTGGGCTGGTGTGTTCTGAGAACTATCTCTGGAGTTGATTTTGTATCTAAACCCTTTCCTCTTCCCTCATCACCTGAGACCTCCCCTTTCCCCCAGTACTAGTGAACTTCTCCATTGTGCGTGGCTTGGTGCACTCTGAAAACTCAATATTGAATTGGAACTGCAGGTCAGGGATTCAATCTTGTGTGTCCCAGGAAGGGAAGAGTGGAATCCTGATGGAAACAATTGTCTGTGGCAAGATCTGGCTTAAAGAATTTTGCTGCTGAGAGTAACACGTTTATTTTCATTTTCCTTAGTTTTTGAATAGGCAAATAGTATCCTATTTCCAAATCACCATTACATGTAGATCTGTGAGGTTTTCTTCATTCTGTTTCAGACAATTTTGTCAGAACTCTTGGGGGGGGGTGTACTGGAGAATGATCCCAGAGCCTTTATACTGAGCTACATCCCTAATCTTTTTTTTTTCAAATTTAAGACAATGTCTTACTAAGTCCCTAAGTTGTCCAGTCTGAGCTTGAAGTTGTGATCCTCCTGCCTCAGCCTCCCAGAATGCTGAGGTTACAGGCCCATTCCATGATCAGAAGTCTTTTGGTCGATTATTAATGATCTCCTAGTGGGCTGGGTGGGAGGAAGGGGGGAGGAGTGTTGCACACATGACTTCCAGCCCATTGCGTTGGCCAGAACGTGGTCAGCATCCATGCATGTCTGCAAGGGAGGCTGGAAAGGCGTGTCTCTATCCAGAGTGACCTCGTACTAGTCGACGATTATCTCGAGAGAGAAGAGGAAGTTAGGTATTAAAAACCAGCTGCAGTGGCGGCTACACTCTCTACCCTTCTGCTCCCTACCATGTGTCCACCTCCTCTCCTCTGAGTCCAGCTCGGAGTCATGATCCCTGGACATTGTGCAGTCTTCCCTGTCAGGCTGGCTGTGGCCAGTTGGGAATGGGATTAGTGAGTTTCCACCCACTCCGGGTACACACATTCGATATGCAAGAAGACTCTACCTCCTCCTTAGAAAGAGCGAGGAGTGTAGCGCCTCAGTGGTTCTAACCAGGTAGCAACCCTGTAGAGAGGAAAGGTGACAGCGGCCAGCTGCGATCAAGTATTAAGGCCACTGGTTTATTCGGCCCCGCCCTGTGCCTTCGGTCCATTCCCGGGGCTTTGCCCGTGGAGTTTTGGGATCTGTTATCGTCTGTGGCTGTAGCTGACGTGACAGTGGAGAATGTAACCTCCTTTGAGGCCACACGCCTTCTGCCACCTGCTTCATTTTGATAAGGTCAGGAGCTTGAAGGTTACCTTCGGGATCATCAGTTAGAGTGTTTGTTTTGTTTTTCTGGCCAGAGTTGGGGTTTCTTTGGCAGCACTGTTTTCTCCTAAATGTCATAGGTCTGCAGTGTTTGTCCGTGGCCATCCACGAACAAGCTGCCACAGTCAGATCTCATCCATAAAGATGTTAATCCTGAAAAGCAAAGTTTTCTATTTTCCTGTCCTGCTCCCTGAATTTAATGTTTCCCTTGAGACCATCTGAGGTATGGGCTGCAGTACAAAGTCAGTGCCCTTTACTTCCAGTTTAAGGCCATGCCGGTTCCCATTGTCTAAAGAATGCCTTAGTCGGGGCTGGGGATTTAGCTCAGTGGTTCTACCGCCTGCCTCGCGAGCGCAAGGTCCCAAGTTTGATCCCTGGTACAAAAAAAAAAAAACAATGCCATAGCGTAGCAGGTGACCCTACCTGGAGAAGGGTTGAGTCTGCTCAGCCTCTCCAGAACCATTTCTTTTGGTTTTTATTTTATTTTTCAGGGAACTGAAATCAAGACCGAACACATGTTAAACAAGCGCCCTAACATGGAACTGCACCTCAGCTGGAGGCTGACCTCTCCCAAGTGCTTCTAACTTTTTCACTGTTGCCAAGCTCGGCATTCTAGGCCCTGAGATCACAGACAGTCCTTCTGGGAGCAGAGCTGAATTTCTCCCCATCCCTGCTTGCTAATTGCGTTGCTCCACCTCGACCTCATTGCTCTTATTAAGAAATAGAAACAGCCTTTCCTATACACAGTTCACCTGTGACATTTAGTTTCATTTGCATTTTGCCTGCCGAACCCTAAGACTAAGTATCAAGAGAGGAGGCCATCATATACCCAGCAGCTCTCTATTACTGTGCTTTTTGCTGAGAAGACAGTTAAGACTTTCTGGGTTTTTCCTGAAGCTCTGTGCATGTGCTTAAGGTTCATTGTTTTAGCTAGGGGAAGAGCGTGACGAGCCTTCTTCCTGACGTCTCCCAGTTGTCACGAAAGGCCCCATATTGGCCAAGAGCAACACGGAGCTGGGGTGAGGATCATGGATGTAGCTTGCTGGTGTTGGCACGGTAGTCGAGGGACAAACCCCCCTGGGATGACACATCAGGGGTCACACAGTAGAGTCAGGGTCCAGGGACCTCCCTGCTCTTCTGTGGCCTCTTCCTTCATGTATGTATCTTGGCTGAAATAAATTTCTTCCTAGGATGACCACATCACTTGCTAAACCTTCCCTTGTATTAAGGCTTTAAATAAATATTGACTCTGCTTTCCATAATCTTTGATTTCACCAGTTAGAAAATCGACCCATGATAAGTGTTCTTTGCAACTAGGCATTAATAACAGCTCGTAGTTTATTTATTTATTTTGCTACCGGGGTCCGAGCACTTGCAAGGCAGTTGGGGGCAGAACCACTGAGCTAAATCCCCAGCGCCGTAGTTTAATCTGTAAACCTCAGTTGCTAAGTAACCTTGAATCTTTTTTTTATTGGTGCTCATGATCGCGTCCAAGTCTTTGTACATTAAATTTGAATTTTTTATTTTTGGTCCTGGGGATCAAACTTGGGACCTTGTGCTTGCAAGGCAGGCAGCAGAACCACTGAGCTAAATCCCCACCATTAAATTTGAATTTATTTATAAAAAATCCTAGGGCCGGGGATTTAGCTCAGTGGTTTCACCACCTGCTGCTCAAGTGCAAGGACCCGAGTTCAATCTCTGGTACCAAAAAAAATCCCAATTTAAAGTGGAAGTGGGGTTGTAGCTTAGGGGTAGAGCAGTCTCATAGCATGTATGAAGCCCTGGGTAGCATCCCCAACACCAGAAAAAAGATAATAATAATAATAATAAATAGGAGACTGAGGCAGGAGGATTGCAAGTTTGAGCCCAGCCTGGGCAGCATAGTGAGTCTCTATCTCAAAATTTAAAAAAGTAAAAAGGGCTGGGGATGTAGCTTGCTGCTTCTGGGGTTCAATACTCACTACAGCCAAACAAGAATAATAGAATAAAATAATAAAAAATAAAAATAAAATTGAAGTGAATTTAGGAATGGTGATTCACAGGTGTGCATTTCATCATGCGAGATTTAGGGTTTTTGTTAGGGAAAGAAACAGCAGGGTTTAGAGCCTATCGGGAGATGCCCTAGAAGCCATCAGATGGCCGGTGCTGTTTAGAATGGTTCCCAGCTGGTGGTTACAGCTTCTTCACTGAGCTTTGCTGGTTGGAGTGAGATCATAGAGATGTTGCATACTGGAAATAATAGGATCTCTTATTGGAGTCATAGGGGAAAAGAGGAAAATGTGACTGTAGTAGAGATTTTTGAAAATATTGATAAATAACTAGACTGACTTTCAATGTAAATACCAAGTTTAGTTTAAGTTATATGGCCATGACTTCATGCTGACTAACATGAGCACTTTGTGAAAGCAAAAACTATTTATTGACACCCCCCCACCATGTTTATTTGTAGCATAGAATAAAATAATTGATGTTGGCAGATATTAGCTGAGGTTATTTTGGTCATAAGCAAAAGAAACCAACTTTAACTATCTGAAGCAAACAAGGATTTTTTTCCCATAAAGTTTACTGGTACATTTTAGGTCTACAATACAGTGACATTCATCATTGGGATCTTGTACTTTAATAAGATGTATCTTGGTTCTTATTTTTTCCCCCTTCCCCTGCCCTCCCTATTTACACCCCCTCCACTCTTCCCTATTTACAAAGACTTTGTTTCCATTTTTCCTTTTCTCATATTTTTTCTTTTCCCTTCTTTCTTTGCCCCTACCCCTCCCACTTCTCCTACCCCTTTAGACCTTTTCTTCCTATTTCACATTTTCACTTATACATTTTGATCCTTATTTACAATTTTAGTTTTTCACACCAGAGAAACTATGTGGTATTTACACACGTGTGTCCTATTTATTTCACTTATGAGGATGGCCTCAATGTGCATCCATTTAGCTATAAATGTCTCTAGTTTCTTGTTCTTTATGGCTGAGTAGTACTCCATTTTATAAAAAACAACCCACATCTTCTTTATCCAGTCTCCAGTTGATGGGCACTTGGGCTGTTTCCAAGTTTTAGCTATTACAACCTGTGCCGCTATAAA